TGCCCAGGAAATTGACTACTTCTCCCACATCCTTGAACTGCAACTCTTCCGTTAACATCGAATGAGGTCCCTGTTTTGTCACTCCAAATCTAATTCTCCTGAGACAATCGCAAAAGAATTCCGTTAACGGTAAATTCTGAGCCTGACAAAACTTGTACAGCCTATTTCCTTCGTTGGAGTCTTCCACTTGATAAAAGTCACTAGTGATCTTGTTGTCAAACTTCCGGATTGGCTTCATCTCAACTCTTTCACCATGCATAACCTTACTCTCCCCTTTTGAAACTACCTTGTCCTCAAGGTAGTAATCCACAACAAGTCCATCTTTGCTTATTTGTTCTTCTTCAATCCCTTCTTGCTCATTTCCGCTCTTCATCTTTACTTTTCTATTGTTTATCAAAAGCTTCTCATCCGTACCGCCGAGAGTGATCCATTTATGGTTGTGAAGGAATGAGAATTTGCGTTCTTGCCAATTAACACTTGTCTCTCCCAGCTTAGAGAGCCACCCATAACCCAAGATTACCTCTGCTTCAGTCTTGTTCAATTCTAGCACGAGAAAGTCCTCAACGATCTCAACATCATCAATGAGCAATTTGATTCCCTTACAAACGCCTTTACTCTTGTTGTGCACACCGTGTCCCATCAGCACTGAAACTGTTCTTTTCGTTCGTATTGGCAATCTTAGATGCTTAGCCAATTCTTCTGAAATAAAATTTTGTGTAGCCCCGGAATCAATTGCTAAAACTATCCCATTCCTTGAGAGAGAACCATATAATTTAAAACCCATGCTCTTAGTGAAATCTGTCCTTGACTGTTCAGTAATCCGCTCCATGGTAGTGGAGGAACGTGTATCACCATGTCCCATAGTAAGGCTCATCAACTCCTCTTGAACGGTTTGGTAGATGCCTAGGTTAGTTCTCCTTGACGTCACACCTCATGAGGCTATGACTTCATTACTTCCTTCCAGCCATTGTGCTAGATCCATCATTTGTACAATTCCGTTTGGATGTAGATTTCTAACTGCAGTTTGTAGACTAGGCTTTAGTTCTTGCAAGAACAACGCTTCTAGTTGTTGTCCCGGTAAAAGCTCCGACTGGAGACAAAGTGCTTCAAAATTTTCTCTATATTCTGCCACTGTTCTCTCTTGTAAAAGTCCTAAGAACTTTGGCTGGCTGGTTGGCCGAGAAACTCCCACTAACTCATGTCGAATCATCAACTTGAACTCATCCCAACTCTTCGGTGACTGTCTTTCCCAAGCTCCTTTGATCCATTGACCTCCGTGTCCTTGCAAGGTTGCATAAACAACTTCCAGTCTCTTGTCCTCAGAAATGTTGTTTTGGAAAAAATAGTTCTCAAATTCGTGTATCCACTTCTCCATGTCAACCCAGGATCCTTTTTCTTGAACACCATTCTGATATAGTTTTCGAACTCTTTCTTCGGCGTGTTCAGCCACTATCATATCTTGTCTGAACTCTTTATCCATTTGATAAGTTGTTTGTTGAAAACCAATGTGGAGGACTGTTGTAGTATCAACTTCGTTACTATGTTCTTGGTGTTTCCAGCCATCTTGGTCCCATGCCCTTGAAGATTTTGTCCCCAACATTGACCCATTTCTTGCAACTTTAACACCAATAGGGACTGACGTTTCTTTATAATTAACTCGTAACTTCCCTGGATCAACCAGGTTTCTAGGTGACTCCTCTATTGGTTCAGTTGCTTGGATGTAACCATCCATGTACTCTCGCTGTCGGTGACGTCGGGTGCGTTCACGTGATCTCCTTCTCCCCACCACTATATCATCAGACTCCTGCGATGCATCATATTCAGAGGTAGAACCCTTTTGCCTAACCATTTCCACTGCCGTCTGCATTTGCCGAAATAACAATAGTTGAGATCTAACTCTTGGTTCAAGCACGGAAGATCGAACTCGTTTACCATGCTTCTTCATGGTGACTTGTGTTGCCGATACCCTCTTGTGGCGATTTTTCCGCGTTAACTTCCTCCTTGTCTTATGATAACTACGTGTAACCAGGGTATCTTCTACCCTTTGAGCGTGGCCTACGCTTGGAAGCTCAAAAACCCAAGGATTGAAAGAAGCTTCAGGAGTTGGAGTGCTCACCATATGTTCGACAGAATTCCTAAGAGGTGTCATGTCTGGTCTCGCGGTGTGGATCTGCTTTGGTGTAAGACCTGGTGGTGTAGGATCGGACCTCTTTCCCGGAGAAAACATGGGCGAACCGTGCGTTGAGACTGCTAACGGCGGCAAGGTTAAGATCCCGTCACTTGTAGCCTCGATTGGAGCCGCATGTTTGCCACAGATCTCTGGATTCAAGCAACTTTGAGTCAGATATGCGACTTGGGAACTAGCAACCGTACCGTTTCTTAGATCTTTGATCTCGCGACAAAGCCAATCGAGAGTATCACAAACAAGTTTCAGAGTCTCATTTTTTTGGCTCATTGTCTCCGTGTGAGCTTCGAGCTTCGTTTCCAGCTGGGTAACACGTGTGGCAAGCTCCGTTACCGAAGGCGTAGCTTGAGTCGACGAAGGATACATTGTTCCCATTCACTTGAAAGCACCAATTTGATAAGTACAGAATCGCTTATCAAAGATAACTAGAAGATGATAAGAAAACAGAAGAATAAGATAGAGATACAGAAGAATTTAAGAAGAAGAGAGGAGAGGAACAAAGAAGAGGAAGAAGATGATGTTCATTGTTTTTAGGATCTAAATCGATGAAACATTACAAGAGAAAGCGTTTGACTTAAATAACAAACCAAAGATAAAAGGCATGAACCATATAGCTCCATCTTTTATTCAATGAGCCCAATAAGAGCCCACTAGACTCAGTTACGTTCTTATCATTAACGTTTGTTTTGCAAGTCGTTGTTTTGTTTCTAATCATTATGATTTGTTTTGTTGTGTTTTGATACAAATTATTCTATTTTGTTTCTCTCGTTGTATAGAATAATGAATATATGTCCCTCCTTACTAAGGATGTTAGCAAGTTAGTTAGGTTTGAACAAAATATGCACACCTAATGGAAGGTTCCAACGTACCCGATCCACTAAAAAAAAAAATATATTCAGTTTTTAAATGGACTTCATATTGTATTCATTATTTGTACGACTTAATCTATACTATTAAAAGGGGAGCACTAATCTTTGTTGCCAAACACATATTAAGTTTCATGAAACTCCAAACCAGTTGCCAAACACACTAAAAGACAGCAAAAAATATAATCTATACTATTAAAAGGGGAGCACTAATCTTTGTTGCCAAACACATATTAAGTTTCATGAAACTCCAAACCAGTTGCCAAACACACTAAAAGACAGCAAAAAATATAATTAAAAAAAAGCAAACATTGTCTATATTTATGGAAATCAAATCAATTTTATTACCATAAAAAGTGGTCAATTAAATTTAAAAATTAATACTATGTAAACTTAGTTAATTTGAATTTTAAAATTTTTTGATATTTTCAAAAACTATAATTTATATTTAATATATCTAATATAACAAATTATCATATATTTAGGAAAAGAAAAATGATTTTATAGGAAAATGAAAAGAAAAAAGTATGATAGATTATGAAATAAGCGACTAATCAAATTCTACATAGCATAAAATATGGAATATACACTCTGTCAATCAGTTGAAAATATTTTACATATATTAATATATATATATATATATATATGATTAAAGTGAATTCTCATAACAAACTAATGGAATATTTCCCAAAAATAGCTATATCATTAACTATAAAATAAGAAATATTTTTTAAACAAGGTTATCTACAAAATTTGCATATCACTAATAGCAATTTTCATATTAATACTATTGAAAAATCATATATGAAAATTAAAACTAAATTATAAGTGGATATATCACATTTATATAATTTTTACGACTTATTAGAAAAAATTAAACAATAAAAGGATTATATTTTTATGACTTATTTTCTACGAATTTTAAGTAAGTTTCAAAAAGAATTTTTAAAAAATCGAGTAGTTAAGAACAAAATTCTTAATTATCTAACTGAAACCAAACTAAATGTCAAACTGGTATGAATCCAAACAATAAATGATATACTAAATAAATATCTAAAAAAATTATCCCACATATACGCACAATTTCGAATTATCCTTGATAAATATGAGATATAAATTTTGAATAACGGGTTGGAATATAAAAAAAGCTGGGACGTATAAATCTCTACTTTTGGGCGATTATATGAAATTTTACATATATTAAAAAAAAATTATAACATGTAAATGGTGTTATTTATTAAAAAATATATATACTTATAGGAATGGGTACGAGTCGGGAAGATATATTTCGAAAAATAAACATTATCTTAACTATTTCTCATCGAAAAAATAAGGATGAGATATATATAATGGTTAGGAGACAATATAATAAAGTTATATTCAATTTCAACTTTCAAATGTAAAGGCATAAAAATTTTGGCCTTCTTTGTGTCGTTTTAGATTCTTAAATATGATTAATATCTAATTAATTAATTGAAAATTGGGCCTGTTTTTGTTATGTTTGAAAAGGTTTGGCCCACTCAGATCTTTTTGTTCGGTTATAAGTGAACTGGTCGGGTCTTAGTTTGGTTTTGATGAGTCAACGCTGATCGTTATCTGAGTCAATTACCCGGTAAATCGATTTTTATTTGATGAGTAGTCAATTATACCGATTTTTTTATACATGACGTTACATACTTCGTATATGTGGCCATGCCAATCATATATTTAGTGTAGCTGGATATCAATTATTAAACTTCAGATGTGTGATCATGTGTTTCGTCATACCTCATGTAACTGAGTATCTTTTTCCTTCTCTTTTCCTAGTTTCGAATAGTAACCGGTACAAATTTCCAATTTTTTTCCAAAAACTGTCTAAACCAAGAATTCACTGTTTGACAAAGATACTAAACCGAGACTAACAGGTACGAAACCGGTAGAGAAGATAATCCAATCTTAAATCACTCCCACATAAACGTTTCCCTTATCTCTCTCTCACTCTCCGTTCCAATGGGGACTCTCACCAGCGTCGCTTTTGCAGCTGCCGTGAACATCAGATTCCGATCATTTCACCACCGTGACAACATTAAGACGATAACAACACTACCCAAATGGCAAAAGAGACTCTGTTTCACTTTCACAGAGGACTCTCATAGATTTAGGGTTGTAAAGTGTTTAAGCAATGATGAAAACAGTAACAGAGACAACAACACTGTCGGAGATAACACAGATACCAACAAGTCTTCTTCTGTTGTAAAAACAGCATCTCGTGTTGAAGAAGAAGATGACGAGACAAGTAACACTGCTTCTACTTCCACCAGTACCAGCAGCACCAGCAACGAGTTCGGTTCCGACAAGACTTCAATGGTACTCACAGTTCCCCTTTTGTCTTTTGCCAGTGTTTTAAAATTGTCAGAATTGAGTCTTAGTATTGCTTGATTTCAGTTTGGTCTTGTCATCTGCAATTTCGTTATAGCTTCTTTCTTAAGAGATTGATACAACTAACATAATAAATCAAGTAGTCTTGTATGTTCACATCACTCTTGTGTTACTTAGAGTGAAGTATATGTCTTTTTTCTCAGCCATCAACTGTATCATCCGTTGATTCAACATACAGTAGCTTTCAAATAGACTCATTTAAGCTAATGGAGCTTCTTGGACCTGAGAAAGTAGATCCTGCTGATGTGAAGTTAATAAAGGACAAACTTTTCGGCTATTCGACATTTTGGGTGACGAAAGAAGAGCCATTTGGGGACCTTGGGGAAGGAATCCTATTTCTTGGGAACTTGAGAGGGAAGAAAGAGGAAGTTTTTGCTAAACTTCAGAGGAAACTAGCTGAAGTTGCTGGAGATAAATATAATTTATTCATGATTGAAGAGCCTAACTCAGAAGGGCCAGATCCTCGCGGTGGTGCTCGTGTTAGCTTTGGCTTGCTTCGTAAAGAAGTCTCAGAGCCTGGACCAACTACACTATGGCAGTATGTAATTGCTTTGATTTTGTTTCTTTTGACAATTGGTTCCTCTGTGGAGTTAGGAATTGCTTCTCAGGTACCTTTTCTTCTCAGAAGCAATACATCAGTATGTTAATAATCTATACTTCAATGCAATGATTGAAGCTACTTGATTTAACAGATTAACCGCTTACCTCCCGAGGTGGTAAGGTATTTCACCGATCCAAATGCTGTTGAACCACCTGATATGGAGCTGCTGTATCCGTTTGTAGACGCTGCATTGCCTTTGGCATATGGTGTGTTGGGAATTCTTTTGTTTCATGTAAGTTAAAGCTTATGTGTTTATCTTTATTATGAATGTTTTGTTATGTTGCTTTCAAATTCATATCAAGCAGCATGCTCCCTTGGTTGAATGATAAGCTTTCTTATTTCGCTCTCAGTACTTCGTTTAGAGGGTTATATTTATGTATTGTTTATTTGCAGGAATTAGGACACTTTCTTGCTGCAGTTCCAAAGAAAGTAAAGCTTAGCATTCCTTACTTCATTCCAAACATTACACTCGGAAGCTTTGGTGCAATCACACAGGTGGTTTTTACTGATCATGTCTATTGCAACTCTGTCAAGTTCGAGTGAAATATCTCCTTTTGAATTCTATGTAACTCACGTCTAGAAGAAGGATATTTCAAAGTTCTTTGACAAAACAAGGAAATAGCTACTATGGATTTGAAGTGTTTTGAAGACAAGACTATTGTCTAACTTTAGTAATACTTTTACTTGAATTTTACAGTTCAAGTCGATTCTTCCTGACCGGAGTACAAAAGTTGACATTTCGCTAGCTGGACCATTTGCTGGAGCTGCACTCTCAGTTTCCATGTTTGCTGTTGGTCTGTTCCTATCTACTAACCCGGATGCAGCTAGCGATCTGGTGCAGGTTCCCAGCATGTTATTTCAAGGTTCATTACTTCTTGGGCTCATCAGCAGAGCAACTCTGGGATATGCGTAAGCTCTCTGCAGCTAGTGACTGTTCAACCTAGACGAGAAAATTTAACTCCAACTCCTGTTTCTGTTTTCCTATTGATTGCAGAGCATTGCATGCTGCTACAGTTTCAATCCACCCGCTTGTAATTGCTGGATGGTAGCGTCTTAATGCCTTGGCTCATTCTCTATTATTCATTTAAAATTGTGATAGTTTTTGCTTACTTTAGATTTTATTCTTAGGTGTGGTTTAACAACAACAGCTTTTAATATGCTTCCTGTGGGATGTTTGGATGGAGGCAGAGCTGTTCAGGTAATTCTCTTATATGTAAAACTGTGTATATCCCATTCGAAAACTCGAAGCCTAATGTTGCCTAGTAGAAATTTTGGTTACAAAATCTGAAACAATCCGAAGTAGTATCAAATTCTTCCGAGTGTGCCTTATCTTTAGATCATGCTAAAGTTGATTCAAGTGTGTACTATTATATATCCTTAGAAATATTGTAGTACTTCTAACTATGAAAATTATGAACTGACAAGGGTCTTAGATATTCATACAAGAGATGAAATTTTGAACATTTATATCACATTTTAAACATACGGGCATGGATCTTGTGCAGGGCGCGTTTGGGAAAAATGCGTTGGTTACATTTGGTTTGACAACTTATGTAATGCTTGGACTCAGAGTGGTATGTTCAACTGTTCCAACTGATGTTTAGTTATTATACCTTCCTGTTGTATTCGTGCCCTCGGACAGTTTGGTTTATTGCTCTGGCATTTTCCTACTTTTCAGCTTGGCGGCCCATTGGCACTTCCTTGGGGACTCTATGTACTAATCTGCCAGGTACTCTATAACTTAAACTATGCAAACTTCAACAATACGAGTCAGTTTTAAATGCTGTTACTAAGCAGTAGAATGTTTTCGAACAGAGAACACCTGAAAAACCATGTCTAAACGACGTGACCGAGGTTGGAACATGGAGGAAGGCCCTCGTCGGGACTGCAGTAATCTTGGTGATTTTAACGCTCCTGCCAGTATGGGATGAACTCGCAGAAGAGGTAGGCATAGGGCTTGTAACTACATTTTGATGTCATCTTCTGTCTTTGAGCAGATGTTGTAGTTAGGGCCAATCCGAAGCAAATTTTTGTTATATAGTGAGCCATGTCTGTACACTGTAAGCTAGTGAACAAGTATTTATATGTAACTACTTAAATTTTTAAAAAATATTATACCTCCTGCTGAGTCCAATATAGCAAATACAAAATTTATTTTTAAATGGCACATTAGAGTTTTAAAGTAAATAAAAAAAGGTTTATCGTGTATAAGATAATTTTTAACAAATCATAATTTACATTGAAATATCTTTTGAAAACACAACATAACTAAATGTCGCAAGTTATGTTGTGATCAGGACCGGATTGGCTGGTGGACAATAAACCCGTGACAAGGTCAATAATAGAACTTCCCATTTCCTACACATCATCCAAAGATTTTGATTTTGGAACAAACTATTGCATATAGAACGTTTGATTTTGGTATTTTACTTTTCAATTTTTTTCTCGTAGAATCTTAATCGAATAAGGTCTAATCCATTCCATGGGTCAGACAGTTCCAACTCTCTTAGTTTTGTGAAATGGACTAGACCTTATTCAGTTTAGATTCAAAACTTATCTCCAACATTTTTCACAAATTGACTCATTCACGTAAATATTTCTAACAAAAATTAGCAAGAGACTCAAAGAACCTAAAAAAAAAGTTCTTTTCTTTTCCTATAGAGTCAAAGAGATCGAGTGTGTTATTAACTATGTTAAGAGTATTTGAAGGTTCGATGACCCATGCATTTCATAATCTAGCGAACTCTTTAACCTTTACGTTCTCTAGCTATTCACAATATACAAGAATTTTCGACGATAAATAAATTCAGCTATAGGCAAGATCTGAAATCTCACACACGCTATGATTGTTATTAGTTTTACATAAAGAAGTTTTTTTAAGATATATTTATAGCTTTCAAATACAAGTTCAATATTATAATGCTTTGAATAAAATTGTTAATTTTTACTAAACAGTTGAATTTAATAACATTTTGAAAATTGATCAGATATAATCAAAATCTGTTAAACACACCCACCAAAATGGTATTGTAGGCATACTTAATAACTAAGTTTGTACAAGTTACGAACTAATAGTCTTAAATGTATATTTAGTACATATGATACAAATTAGTGACAATTGTAAGTGTACATATAATTTTCTAATTGCTGCTAAAATATTTTAAATTAGGTCCATTAGAAAAAATAAATAATTGTATGTAACTATGTATATAGTGTTCATATAACGTTATTTTCAGTTAGTGACAGTTGAATTTTTCCATATAAGTGTTTATATAAATACTGTTATATAAAGGGCTATATTAATATATATACAAAGAAGACTGAAAAATTAAATATCTAACATTAGTTTTTCTTTAATTTTTTTTTTGGTCAACTAGTTTTTCTTTAATTAGTTTTCTATATTCTGAATCAGTTAATACCTAAAATATCATTAGTCAACACTAGTAAAATAACTAACGAAATAAAAAGTTAGTTATCAGCAACACAAAAAATATAAATTTTTACAATAATGTTGGTCATATTTCTACTAAAAATAATTATATTCCAGTTTTATATTGTTAACTATTTTATTAGCATGCTATATAGTATTGTATTTCGAAATAACTTTTTATAACATTTTTTGATCAAATATTAGTAAAGGTAAACATTGTTTCTCCGATGTCGTGAACAATTACTTTTGGGGTTAAATCTATTTTATTAAAAGTATAAATCATATTGTATCACGATAAAATTATAAATTATGTAATACACTCATAATTATCGTGTTAAATCATTTATTATATGATTCATAAATCTTTGTTAAATCATTTATCATGTTAAATCATTTATTATTATGTTAAATTATAATATTATATTGTCAAAGTTGTAAAAACGACATAGAAATAATGGATAATAAATAATGGATAATAACAATCTATAATTTAATGATATCTATTTTGTTATATTGCTAACAATTTTGTTATACATATATAGGGATACTAGTGATGGACCCGCACGTACGTGCGGGGTTATTTTTACAAAATTACGATTTTTTATGTAGATGCATGCTATTTTGGTAAAATTTTGTTATATGAGTTTATTTGATAAACTATATATAGACATACAATTGTAAAATATAGATATTGTATCACATAATAAAATTTTAAAATTACAATTTTAAAATAATTTAAATGAAAATGATAAGTGATATTACGTGTTTAGTTTTTAATTTAATCAAAACATTTCTAACTGTTTGCTTATAGATGTTAAATCGGATTTGGGTTTAGCTTTAGTTTTAATTGTTTTACGTGTACTTTAGAATTAAAAACCCGTCATGTCCCTTTATGTCTCGTCCTGAGCCGTCCCGTCCCACCCCGCCCCATCCCGTCTTCTATATGTCATAAAATTTCTATCCCGTAATCGTTTCTTTTTAAAACATAATCATTTGCCAATGTTTATTATAAGAAACTTGGTAAAAGATTTAGACGGGATTCCCGTATTCCTCGTTTAAATATTTCTTGTTCGATTTTTATTTTTATTGATCTTTCAGTTTCGTTTTTATTTCTCATTAATTTCTTCAATTCAAAGATTTAGGTATTTCTTTTTTTTAATACATGGATTTATTGTAGTTTTGTTATCTGAAGTATACGTTATCTTCTTGTACCTGTCATTTCATGTCCAAATATTTGAAATAAATAGGAAAGTGTAAATCTATCTTATTATTTTTGCAACCATTTTTTTGACCATCTCTTTAAAAATTCGATTTCCATTAACTACCCTTACCACTAATTATTTTACAAAAACTCATTAAGGTTAATGCTGTAATATTAATTATCGGGTCGGTTTATGATTTCAATTTATGATCCAATTGCAAATGATGGATCTTCTCTTATTTACCATAAAACATCCGAATTTAATTGTTATTATTATTATTGTTAAGATAGATTAGTAAAGTATATAAATACGAATATATTTGGCATAAACAATTTCCTAAATCTTAGCTTAACAATAACTACTAAAAAAATTTATAATAATTTTCTAAGAATATCCAATTACATTCAATACATAACATTATAAGAATATTCTTGCTATTAATTCCGATTGTGTATAAAAAATCACCAAAAATTAATCCTTTAGAATATCTCGACAAACACATAACTTCCATTTATTGACGATTTTAAATTTATATTTGTTAGTGTAGAATATATCTATAAGATATTTAGGAACTTGAAGATTTTTTACAAACCAAATTATTTGTTCTTTTTTTTTTGTTAGGCATGTAAAATCGTCAATAAATGGAAATTATATATTTGTTAGTGTAAAGTGATAAAATCTCGAATTTCAATAAAAATTTACCAAAACAAATCTTAAATCACCATGCGAATATTCTTTCATAATACCATCTTGCTGACCAAGGCAAATCTTACCTAATGACTGCTATAAATACCATCTAAACTTGCACTTGAACACACCATTCCAAAAATGAGAACGACAAACCAAGTACAAACCATTCTGAGAGATACTACTGCTTCATTTGCATTTCTATTTACTTTTGATTATTTATGTCAAAAAAAAAAAATTGTAATGATGTAGTAGAACTAATACGTGAGAATGATAATCATGTATTATAATTATTTGATAATTTGAGAAAAAGGTTTTTCTTTTGTCATAGTTAGATTCATATTTTATTGTTTTGTTTTTTAAATGATAAATTAAATAATATTGAGATATTAGCTTTTAAATTAAAATTAAAACTACTAGGATAAAAAAAAATTAATATGTTACTCAAAATAATTTTTATATTGCAAAATAACAAGTATTATGATTCAATCATAGATAGAAATATTTATGATATCGAAATAATATTCATAAACTAAAATTATAGATCTAAATGTTTCATCGTATTCTAATTCTGAAT